TCCTTCCTTCTCTCTCTCTCTCTCTCTCTCTCTCTCTCTCTCTCTCTCTTTCTTTCTTTCTTTCTTTCTTTCTTTTTTTGGTATGGGGATTTGAACTTAGGATCTTGCACTTACTAGGCAGGCGTAGTGCCAGTGAGATAAATCCCCAGCCCAGGAATTGTTTCTAATAAAAATTCTATTGTGGAGTTTAAAAATGCTCAAATATCCCAAAGCCAATGAAATGTTTGTAACAATATATTCACATAGATCCCATTTTGATTTGTAGATGGGTCTTAGCTTCAGTTAGAGAACTTGTTTTCAATTCTAGGTAGGATGATCAACTGTCTTGCCTAGAACTGGGGGATTTCTCAGGACTTGCAGTGCAAAACCTACAGTCCTAGGCAACCTGGGAGTGGTAAGTGGCCCTAGTTCTAGGAGGAGAACATAATTAAGAGATTTTAAAAATATCCTAAATGTAAGAAACTGACAGCCTACATCATTCATTTTCCCCTATATTTTGTATAAAAACCTCCCTGTAATGTGCACTAAATTTCTTTCAAGAAGAAAAACAGAATGCTACCATCTCATTGCTCAAGGCAAATTTAAAGGTCACATGACCTAATACGTTCCTATTACCCACAAAAATGTGGAAACCCAGGGAAATTAAGGGATGAAGGCATGATCAAACAACAGTGGCTGAGTAACTGGAACCCAAGACTTTTGATTCAAAGAGCATTCAAAATGAAATCTCTTCAAACTTAGAAACAGTTTTATCTGCATTTACAAGTGCAGGTGAAATACAAAATTATAAATAACCAAATAATTTAAATGAAACCTAGATTTACCTGAAATCACCATCATATAAAATCTTTCAATAATTTTATTAGATTGAGTTGACCAGGTGGCTCTAGTTTGCCTTACATGTGCCTGTACTTGAGGACTGCATCAGACTCAGGCAAAGCCTCAGTGATTTCTTGGGGTCTGAGATTGAACAGATTCAGGTCACTAGTGCTGGGTATGTATACGCCTAAGGTATATGCTGGGTATGTACTGCCCTAAGCCTCTTTATGTACTTTGTGACAGCCAGATAGTAAGTACTAAACTTGTAAGTACTCTAAAATAATGCAACAGAGTCTTACAGAAATAGTAAATGTATAACTGGAGTTAAAGTTTTACTGGGTTAATTAAAATTTCCACTCAAAATGCACAAGAGAAAATATCAAAGAATCCATAGGAATCTAAGCAATTTGTAAAAACATATCAAAGAAGATGAACTTACCTTTGCTGTTTAGAAAATATGACCACAAGTAGCATCACCATTAGTCCAAATATTCCAAAGATCATAATTAAGAACCATGGAAACTGGAATTCTGAAACACACAAGAATATTTCACTCAGAATTATGAAAGTTAAAGCAAAGTTCACATTTCATTCTCTGTTTCTACATAAAAATATTTGCTAATTTGAATTCATTTGATAACCTTGCAAACAATAGGATGACTTAGGGTTTTTTTCTGTTCTAAGAACACCTCTGTCTACTGTTAAAATCCTTTCACATTGATGAAATCTTGCAAAATAAAAAGGATATGGCTCAGACATACATGTTTAAAACAAAACAGAACAGAACAAAACAAACAATCTAAGCATTTAATTAGTCAAAGGAGTATCACTAAGGGCTTTGGCTCTAGGACAAACTATTGTTTGTCAGACCTAACTACTGCTCCCTTCCTTCCTTCCTTCCTTCCTTCCTTCCTTCCTTCCTTCCTTCCTTCCTTCCTTCCTTCCTTCCTTCCTTCCTCCCTTCCTCCCTCCCTTCTTCCTTCCTTCCTTCCTTCCTACCTTTCATATTTTTTAGCTTCTAGATTGAGGATCTGTCAAAAAATGTGGATGAAATCTTTATTACGAATCATGACAGAAATTTCTTAGACACATAAAACATCATTTCACAGCTTTAAATCCCCGCATTCCTTCTGAGACTCCTGACTTCAGCTTGTAGTATACTGTGTATGAGACTTGGGGAAATCTATAAAGTTTCTGTGTAATTCCTCAAGACTAAGTGTTTTTATGCCACAAGACTAAACAACTTTGCAGTTGTTTTCCAGTATTCTTACCAACAGTGGCAGAGGCTTACCACTTTTTAAATGAAAAAGATATGTGGAATTTACCTAATTTTGCTTTTAAAAAGTAGGCCTTTATGCTGAAATATGCTTTCCTTATTTAATAAATTATTAATATCTCCAAGGGAAATAATATGGATATTTTTGAGAATTATTAGGGGAAAGGATATCATTTTAGATCTTGTGGTATCTGTAATTTTATAGCAATGACACATTCAGAAGTCCAAGAAGCCACAGTTTCCCCTCTTTTTTTTTTTTTTTTTTTAGTATGGAAAGAAAAGCCGATTAGGAAAAAACTGTGCTAACGAAATCAAATGCCATCATTAAGCTCAAAATATTTGTGGTAATTGTCCTTTTTAAAAATTAATTGCATTATATGAAATACTGTTTAAAAACAAGCCAGGTAACTAGAGCTTAGAAACAATGGTGCTATTGAAGTTTCCATCTTAGTGCTATTTAGTGACATTCAATCTATACAGTAAATGCAGAAATATAAATTTCTTTGTAGCTTATGATTATCTCATTACTAAACTTCAACTCATAATGCCCTAGAAAACCATTGAAAGTGATGACATGTATACTTTATTGTTCATTATTTACCAGCCTTCTTTATTTCTGTATCTAAGAGCTTAATTCTTTTATTCTACATTTATAGGTCTCATTCTCCAAACTTTAATCATCTTTGTGGTTCTTCTATCTAGGATCTTCAGATGTGTCACATTTCCTTTGAGTGTGACTACCACACTACTTACTAGTCCTTCCTTCAAGTAAAGGCTACACCTGCACTTTTTGTTTTTTCTCTTAAGTTCTTTTATTGGTACGTTTTAGGTATACAATTCATTTACATTTATCATTGGGTGCTTGTACCTGTACATGATGTATCTTGGTTCTTATTTTTGCCCCATTACCTGTGCGCCCTTCACCCCCTCCACCCTTCCCTATTTACATAGACATCATTTCCATTTTTTTTTCTTTTCTCATAGTTTCTCCTTTCCCTCCTTTCCTTTCCCCTTCCCCTCCCTTCACCCCTTTGTCTTTGGACCTTTTTTCCTATTTCAAATTATCAATTATTCATTTTAATCATTTTAACCCTTGTTTACACTATCAGTTTCTCACACTAGAGAAACTATTCAGTATTTACACATGTGGGTCCTATTCATTTCACTTAAGAGTATGGCCTCAATATGCATCCATTTAGCTATAAATGACTCCAGTTTTTCATTCTTTATGGCTGAGTAGTACTCCATTTTATAAAAAAAAACACATCTTCTTTATCCAGTTTCCAGTTGATGGGAACTTGGGCTGCTTCCAAGCTTTAGCTATTACAAACTGCTGCTATGAACATGGGTGCACATATATCGCTGTGGTATGATTCTTTTATTTCTTTTGGGAAGATACCCAATACACCTGAACTTTCTAAAACCAGAAAGCACCAGTACTACTTATGCTGACACAATATGAAGCTTTCTCTTAGATGCAATATACACATTCATCCATTTAAATAAATACTTTCTTCCTTTGGGATTAGAAAAACATTTTTATCTGATTATACATTCAAAACAAATTCATTGTAGAAAATTTTATAACTATATAAAAACTTGTCTGCATTTCCACTATCTAGAAATAAACACAGCATTTCTCTATCTAAATTTCCACTTAGCTCAGGACTTTTCCTGAATTAAATAATTTGGAAACCAAATGCTCCTTCTGGTTTTGCAATACATAATATCTGTTTTAGATGGTAAGTGCAAGGTCTCTCACCTTGATATTTGATGTGAATGCATTTTTATCTACACAACAAGCTAACAATTAAGGCATGTATCAACTGATGTATTGCCAAAAGGCACTTATTTTTCTTTACCTTCTTCACACGTAAATGAGCTCAACTGAGGAAGTGTTATGTAGAGCACTTCACTGAACTCGCCATATTTTTCAGAGTGTTTTTGTCTGCATCTTACACGAACTTCATATTCTTTATCCATTTTCAATGAGTACAGTGGAACTGATGTTGATATTACAGGGTCCATCTTTCAAGAAAAAATATAAAGTCTTATTGGCTAGATACTCATCAACTCAAAGTAGTAGATGCTTTATGTATTCTTTCATTTATATTTAAAATGCATTTCTATAAAGTGAGCAATATTTAAAAATGTCCAGAGAAAATTTACTATTTAGAAGATAATTGAAACAAGTTATATCAAGAGTCATTTCATTAAAAGGATAACAGCCTTCCGATTTATTTGGTATAAACACAAAGATATAATAGATTTGCTTGAAGAAATGCAGCTAGATCTTTAAAGTGAGCTGTTATAAATTCTACTAAGCTTAAAGTGTAATAGAATTATTACACAGAATAGCAGATCTTAAAGACTATAGATGTATTTCCTACTTCTCTGGGACATTTCAGTTTTTTATAGAGGAAGACATTAAAGCAGAGAAAAAATCAAATGTATTTCAATATCAAAGAAACTATAGCCATAGGCAAGTTATATATCTGTGTTTCTTAGAAATTTCAGGTAATTACTTATCCATAATCACTGAATTGTAAAGGATTCCAGAAATACAATAGTTCTTTATTAAAAGTTCAAATTATTTTATTAAAATAATGACATATGTAATCTGCTTATTCCAGAAGGTTTAAGCCCATTGTAAAATAGTTCTGTGTTCAAAATTCACAAAGAAAAGTCACTGAAGTCCTTTGATAATGACCATCAGAGTCTCACAAAGTTTAGGGTCAAGATATTCTTTTACTTCTCAGAGAAAGGTAGATTGAATTACTAGACTCTCAAGACACATTTTTTTCTATCAAAGAGGTAGATCCAACTAGTGATTTTGTTTTCCTCCAAATCAAATATTCAGAGCAGGTACTCAATGTACTTTTTATGTATTTTCAAGTAGAACAACTTGTTGCTGTTTATAGAATACTTGGAACACTCACTTTTTCTTTCTTTCTTTCTTTCTTTCTTTTTTTTTTTTTGGTACCGGGGATTGAACTCGGGTCCTTGTGCTTGCGCAGCAGGCGGTGAAACCACTGAGCTAAATCCCCGGCCCAACACTCACTTTTTCATCAGCATGGATTTTCACATAAGTAAAATCCTCACAATTTTTTATGAAGTCTAAAGCCAGGCCTTCAACGTCTGAATGAAATTTTTCTTTCACCCCAGTTGGCTTCAACTCACAAGCACCTCTTTTTTCCTATGTGTACATGACATAGGTTTTTGTTTTGTTTTTTTTACTACTTCTTTTACAAAAGCCTCTAAATATATGCAATATTTGCATGCCTAAAATGTTTTCTTTAAAGCAGCATTCTGAGTATTGCACTTATTTTACAATTTTTCTTAAAATACTTCAAAAGGTCTATGTTTTTATTCTTGGGACCCCAATTTTTCTGTTATTATCACCAATACTATTTGTAGATTTCACTAACAACGGAATCAAAAAAGAGCCCTAAGTGATTGACCTATCACTCCCTCTTCATCTTTCTTCAGTGGTTCACACAAGCATTTTTCAAGTGGCTTCTACTGTATTTGACCCTGTCATTGGCCTCTATGGGGTACCTATTCCTCGTCTAATCCTCAGTGAGAATATTGTGTGTTGCTGATGTTCTAAGTCTTTCTTGGCACTCTTCTCCATTCTACTCTGCCAGACAATGACACACTTATCTTTTTTAAATTAAGTTTATTGGTACTTTTTTAGGTATACATTATGATCATATGCATCGTTGGGAATTTGTACCTGTACATGATACATATTGGTTCTTCTTTTCTCCCCATTCCCCTTCCCTCCTTTCCACTCCTCCACCCCTCCGTATTTACAAAAAACTGTGTTTCCATTTTTTCCTTCTTTTTTCATTTTTTTTCTTACCTGTATCCCTGCCCCCCCCCCCTTTGGACCTTTTCTGCTTATTTCACATTATCTATTACACATTTTGGTCCTCTTTTACACTTTCAGTTTCTCACACCAGAGAAACTATTCGGTATTTATATATGTGAGACACACTTATCTTATTACTTATTATATTTCACTGTTCAAATATAATTATGCACATGTTTATATTATACTGCAATTCCCTGAGGGAACTCAAAATCTTTCAAATATCTCAAATAAATATATAATGATACATCATCTAGGAACTTGGAAAAGAACAAATTCATCCAAAAGTTAGCAGAAGCAAGGGTATTATAAACATCAAAGCAGAAATAAATGGAAAATATCAACAAAAACAAGAATTGGTCTTTTGAAAAGATAAAACTGCAAACCTTCAGCTAGGTGAAGAAAATAAAGTGAAAGAAGAGACATTAAAATTGATGCCATAGAAATAAAAAAAGCTTAAGAAACTTCTAAGAAAAATTACATTCCATAAATTGGATAATTTGAATGGAATGGATAAATTCCTAGATACATAGAACCTACCAAGACTGAATCATGAAGAAAAGGAAAGTCTGAACAGAACTATAATAAGTAAGGAAGTTGAATCAGTAATACAAAATCTCCCATCATAGAAAACTCCAGGCCCTGACTACTTCATGGCTAATGTTACTAAACATTATGAACCAATTCTTTTCAAATTCATCCAAAAAAGTTAGACAAGGGATACTGTAAACTCGTCTTATAAGGCCAGTATTACCCTCATTCCAAACCACAAAGGTTACTACATGAAAAAAAATAAAACAAAACAGGCCAGTATCCCTGATGAGTATAGATGGAAAAAAAAAATCTTCAACAAACCACTAACAAACCAAACTCGACAGCACATTAAGAGGATCATCCATCACAATCAAGGGATTTATCCCAGAGGTGAAATAATGGTTCCACATACAACAATATATTGTATATATGAGATACACCACAATGACAGAATGAATAACAAAAGCCCTATGATTACCTCTATAGATGTAGAAGAAACATTTGGCATTTGACAAAATTTAGTATGTTTTCATGATAAAAAATTCTTCACAAATTGGGATTAGAAGGAATATATCTCAACATAAAAAAGGTCATGTATGAAAAAACCACAGCTGGCACCATGTGCAAGAGTAAAAAATAGGAAAGATTTCACTCTAAAATCAGAAATAAGACAAGGACACCTACTATTGCTAATTCTTTTTTTTGGAGGGTATACTGGGGATTGAACTCAGGACCTTGCGCTTCTGAGGCAGGCAGCAGCACCACTGAGCTAAATCCCCAGCCCTACTCTTGCTGCTTCTAATCACCATAGTGCTAAAAAGTACTAGCCAGAGAAAACAAGCAGGAGAAATAAATAAGTCTTCCAAATCAGAAAGGAAGAATATAAGTTGTCCCTGTTTGTAGACAAGATTTAAAAAATTTTAAATGCACTTTTTAATTGATACATAAAATAGAAAAAATTTATTTTAATTGATACATAAAATAGAAAAAATTTATTTTTTGTGGTTACTATGTGATATATATGTATATATTTAAAATTTTATTTTTATTAGTACACGTTTACAGTACATAATTATTCCATTCATTATAGGGAGCTGGTACATGTACACAGCATATCTTAATCCTTTGTACATCCCTACTCCGCTCCTCCCTCCCTGTTCCTTCCATCTCTTGGCCCTTTCTCATTTGCAAAAGCTCCATCTCTATTTTTCCCTCCTCTTTCCTTCCACTCCCTACCTGTTCCTCCATTTTTTGTTCCCTTTCCCATTTGAAAAGTATTTCTCTATTTCCTATCGCTTAGTTTTTACTTCGCTTTTTATTTATATTTTGGGTTTCTCATATAAGAGAATCATGCAATATTTAAGCTTGTATGTGATATTTTGATAATGTATACCCCGTGTAATGTGTAAATTAGGTTAAACATATCTGCTCAAACATTTATCATTTCCCTAGGTGAAAATGGTCAAACTTTTTGCTTGTTGATTTTGAAATATATAGTACACCATTGTTATCTACAGTCATCCTGCTGTGCAGTAACACACACCAGAACTTCTTATTCCTGTCTAACTACAACAATACTCACTGATAGCGATTGCACTTATTCTGTAGATTGCTTTGGCTAGTATGGACATTATGACAATATTGATTCTTCTAATCAATGAACATTTTTTTCTTTCCATGTTTTATATCCTGCTGAATTCCTTTCATCAGTGTTTTATAGTTTTTATGGTAGAGATATTTCACTTCTTTGTTTTAATTTATTCCTAAATATTTTATTTACTTTGGCACTACTGTCTTGATTCACGGTAAGGTGCAAACAGTTTTTCCATCATTGCTTTTGTGCCATCAGTGTAAATATTCACACAGTGAACAAATTAGGAAAACAGTACTGATTTTTGGACTCCCTGAAAGGGTCTCAGGGACTCTCAGAGGTCCATGGTTCACATTTTGGGAACTGAAACCCTAGATGCCTATCACAGTGCCTTGTACAAAATTGTTATTTCTGTACCTGGCTACTGAATAAGTGTCTGATTATAACTTGGGTTTAGAAAGTCTTGCTTGACTTAGCATCTAGCCAGACTTTTTTTGCACCATTACAGAACAGATATCTAAACTAAAATGAGTCAGAAAATATAATCTCAAATCCCAGCTGTGTAACTATTCAAATCTGCTGAAATTTAACTTCCTCTTATGACAAAACTGGCTTCTTTTTCATTAGTTCACTGAATGGACCGGGCCTGGCATCTCAGAGTTCCAGGAGAGAGCTGTGCCATACTGGTGGGTACAACCTGATGCCTGGCCAGAAACTGCTTGGCTTGGCCAGGACTGTGACTGTGGTTAGACTGATTTAGAATTTGTTATATTGGGAGCAGCATGATTATCCTGTTTTCCTTCTCGTTGTGTCCCGTGTGGAATTTATCTAAGTGCTGAGTTCCCATATACTTGGCAAGGAAGTGAGGGTTTCAGAGACCAACTTGCCTATGTAGGACCATTTTATCTCCACTCTCCTCTGTGGTATGTAACAAAACATCTTTCTGAAACCGCTAAGAGACAAATTTCCTCCCTCCCTCCCTCTTCTGGAGTCACTTAAGATCTGATTTGAATCGTCTTGTGAATAGCAGTAATTAACATCATGGGAGGATATTTGGCCACAGTCCACTGAGAACTTGATTATAATCCTTCCCATGTCTTCTCCAACGAGTGCTAAGTGGTTTGAGTCCACAATTTTGCTCTGTAGTTAAACTGAATACCAAGGATGACTAGGGAAATTGTTTTCATTCCCTCTCATAGGCTCACAATATTTAGGATGATAATTGGATGATATTTCATGATAAAATCAGCCTTCTTCCATTAAGAAATTATGTGGCAGGTGTGAGAAACTGAAAGTGTAAATGAGGACCAAAATGTATAATAGATAATGTGAAATAGGAAGAAAAGGTCCAAAGGGGAAGGGGAAGTAGGGAGGTAGGGAAGTAGGGAGCGGAAAGGAAATAAGGGTAAGAAAAAAATATGAGAAAAGAAGGAAAAAATGGAAACAAAGTTTTTGTAAATAGGGAGGGGTGGAGGCATGGAAGGGAGGGAAGGGGAATGAGGAAAAACCAGGAACCAAGATATATCATGTACAGGTACAAATTTCCAGTGATGAATGTGATCATAATGTATACCTAAAATGAAAGTTATGTGGCCTATACAATGGGACATATGCTACTAGGTCAAAAAGAAGTCAAACTATAAATGAGTTGGATTGTTGAAATAGAAGCAAGTCAAAGTGTAAAATGTAGTGACACCTTACCATTTTCCATTGAGTTTCATTTGTTTGTTTAAATTGAAGTTCATATTCCAGCATTATCCATCCCTTATCAACATCTGTACTGGCTGGTGGTTCCCATCTCACTTGGATATCCCCATAAATCGCCGTTACACTGGTGTTCAGTAAAGTCCAGTTGAGGCCAATGGGTGGATCAGGTTGCACTGTGCAATTCAACAGATAAGTAGTACCCAGAGAGATACACTTAATATTAATGGAGTGCTTTCCTCCGAACAGACCAAATTAATTTATACATTTTGATCAATTATACTTTTAAATCTTCTAATATTCCTATTATAACTCTCATAAATAGGTTGCTTTTTAAAATTAAGGATATGTTTTTAACTTTTAAAAAAGTCTCTCCAAAAACTCCTTTTTGAGCCTAAAATCTGATCTACAACTTCTTTTTGAAGATTTGTCATGATTTATATTTCTTTTAGTTCTCTTAGCACTAACATTTTGGGCTTTTGGCAGAGGAATCTAACTCAAAACAGAAGGAACAGAAAGACAGATATATCTCAGTATTTAAACATGGGCTGTTCTGGAACTAGATGCACAGGAATATTTTCCAAACTGTGAACAATCTGGGACAAGGACCTTTTCTTACTCCTTTATTTTATTGCCACCAGTATAATCTTTTTAAACATCCTGCAAATGCTCCTTAGCTTTGTCATCCTCTAGTCATGTGATCATTTCTTCAGACATAAGAAGGATGGCATTACAGTGCTCTCTTGAATTAGTGATGACTTAATCTTTTCTGCCTTTTGCGCAACTATCATGTAGACAATATTAAGTAGTGTTTTCCTCAGTTTCTGCTCATATATTCTACATTTTTAGATAGATCAGTTGTATTATTATTAAGACCATAATACCACAGTTTCCCAAAGGTTGTTGAAGAAAAATGTAGATTCCAAAACTAGGAATTACATGTAGACTTATATTTTCTATTACTTCAAGTAAATTTTTGTTAAGTAGCTGTCATTACTAAGCCTTTTGAAAATCACTTGCAGCTACAGAGTAAAATTTACTTTCTTTTCTACAATATGTAGATGGTGGTTTACAGTGCTGCAAAATCTGGTTCCTCAGCATTGATCTGAGAAAAACAGATACATACTGTGAACAGCCATTATTGATTACTGACTCTGGAGGCCAAAGGGGAAAGTTCTTGTATTGATCCAGACTGGAAACAGACCTATGGTGGAAGAGCATGCTGCTGGCCACAGTGAAGTACATGCCAGTTAAGACTTTCTCTATTTTTAAGTCATAGATATACACACTTTGGAAATTAAATTTGAAGGATGTTCACATTACATATGCTCACATAATGGCAGTAATACCTTGTCCTTTTGTACTCTTTGGGGATTGAGGAATGTTGATAACTAAAGCCTCAAGATACCAATCTATAAAAGTGTTTTTGATGGAAAATTTCTAAAACATATTATTCATGCTATATCTTAAAATTTCCTCTGCCACTTTGAATAGAGTATATGGGACAGGGTCCTTTCCAAGAAGGAGCAATACCACTCTTATAAGAATAGTATGAACTTTCCCTTATCTCTACAACACATTTGAAATATTTAAAAGTTTCTGAATGTTAATCTATCCAGGACCAAACTGCTGTCCAACACTTACCTGCTCCTTTTTCATCTTTTCCATTTATGTTAATGGTGACTCTATCCCTCCAGTTACTAAGCATTAAAGCAATGAACTCTTCCTGACTCATCTTTTTCTCAGCTGTAGTTTCAAGATGCATCCAGATTCCAACCACTTCTCTCTGCATGCACCCCTATAACTTGTTTCTAGTCATTATCATTTTTTCAGCCCATCCTGCTGCATTTAGCCTCCTCACTATCCTCATGCCTTCCTCGAGCCTGTTTTTCATACCATCTTCAATATAGTAGACACAGTGATTGATTTTTCTCAACATTTAAGTTAGAGTCTATCAGTCATCATTAAAAACTATCCTAAGAAACAGGGAGTGTTGCTCAGCAGTAGAGTGTTTGCCTAGCATGTACGAGGCCCTGCATTCAATTCCCAGAAGAGGGTAGAAGGTGGGGCTCCAAGGCTACCTACCTCATTCCAGGTAAAAGCCAAAGTCATTACAATGGCTTGAAAAGTTCTACAGTCTCTCCAATCCAGTCTGTTCCTGTCCTTCCCTCAGAAATATGATTATTATCATAGTTCCTTCTTTATTCCAGTGTCACTGCCTCAGTGATAATCCTACTTAAAACTGAAACCTCTCCAACACCTGATTTTCTTTTCCTACTGGTCCTCCCTGGCATTGTCTCCTTCCAGCCTCATTGACATTAAATCCTAGGAAAACAAACATTTTCTTTTCCAGTGCATAGAACACTGCCTGGCTGCAGGAAAGAACATGATACATACTTGCTGAATGTACTAAATGAATGACTAATATATTGCTCAAATCCAAGAAACAGCCTGTGACATAGTAGAATATTTACATAATATAGGAGGCAACTATGGCTTGTAGTGATTGACGTCTTTCTCAAGACATATCTGTTCTTTTTGCTCACTTTCGGCCCCTTTGTTTTGCTTTTATGCTGTTGCTATTACTCTGCCTGTCATCACTTTTTACCTTGATTACCATAGTCTTCTAACCTCTCCATCTTTAGTGTGTCTTATTCCAATCTTTCGTCTGCAGAGAGCAAGATTACTTTCTCTAAGAAGTTAATAACATGACAGGTGGCACTGGATAGGTTTGAGATTAAGAGCACAGAATCTATAGGTTTAAATGCCAGCTCTACCTACCAGCTCGTTGATCTTGAGTGACTCATTTAACTGCTCTGAACCTCAGTTGCATCATCTGTAATGTGGGGATTAAATAGAACCTATCACACATGATTATTACCCACAGTGAGTCCTTTGTGAGTGTTATTAATATCCTCAGATCATTTCCCTGATTACGCACCTGCAAATGCATTATTTTGCAGTAAGGTAAAGCCCAGATTCCTCTTTGAAGCATATAAGAAAACTGATAGTTTCTCCAGCTGACCAATGGGCCTGTCCAACTTTTCTTGAGTCCTTGAATTTTCCGTGTGGTTTGCCACTGTCCACTATGATAATTGGCAGCTCTTGCTCATGCTTTAAGTGAACCATCATCACCTCTGTGCAACCCTGCCTTATCCCTTAGGCCCAGTTAATCATTCATGTCTTTGGTCACCACCTTGGTCACCATGTATTCCACTTGCCTGGTCCAACATTTCCCAAAATGTACTGTAGCACACTGTATTACAATTGTTTGTGAATGTGCCTGGCTCCTTTACTTGACTATATCTTACTTATTTCACACATGCAGATGCTCAGTGAAAGCCAAGTTAAATGAGGAGAGCTGGTTATTGGAAGGGACAGGGTTAGAATACAGGTCTTAACTCAGTATTCTTACAACTACCCTATTCTACTATTCCATTTAGCATCAGCTGAAGAGCTATACCTGATAGGACATATATTAAATAGTCTCTGTAGACTAGGCCCTGAGGTTATCTTTTCTTATTACAGTTTTCTCAATCTTCTCTCTCAAAGCCAGGTTTTCAGATTTTGCTTGTTTCTGTCTGCAGCATGTACTCAGATTTTCCCAGTATCTCCATCTTCTAATGCTTGAGAAACTACATATAAGAGCAATATATCTTGGAGAAAGGACAAGAAATTCCTATAAGCAACAAATGAGCTTTTGTTGGTAGATTTTGAGGTACCAAGTTCAGCTATTCAGTCTTTCTTTGATTCTTTCCATTTTTCTGTTTGTACTATTAGAGTATAAACACAAATATTCCAATTTTAGCTGTTTGTTTTGTTTTTCTCTTATGTCCACATGACTGGCAAAAGGATATCTGTGAGGATCTTTGCCTTAGCTCATTGAGCTGATTATCACCAATGTTTGTTTTCAGATCTTATAAGCATGTCTTTCAATCATGGCTGCTTGGTAAATGTAAAATTTGAGAATTATTATGCTTTGTGATAAAGAAAAGCTAGGCTTTGACTATTGCAATGACTGAGGTCAAAGATCAACATATTTCAGAAGATTTGAAATATAATAATTGTATAGAATGATTAGGAGAAAAGCAATCTTAATAGTACATGGAATTTCTTCCTTGCAGTGGCACACAATGTAATCCAGCTTTGAAGATTCCTAAAGGAAAAGACTCCTATTCTTTTCTTCACAATACTCTTTTTCTTCATGACATGTATTGCCAGGTTTTTAAATGTTAATATCAACTAAACTTCTTTCTGCTCTCTCCTTTCATTCACCAGCTGCTACCATTTCCTGTAAAATAGACTCCATGTACCTAATAAAACTATTCCAAAATCTTTCTACTCAATTATACTTGGAAATTGAGTTTCCTCACTCACATAGTCTAAAACTGTGTCAAGTGAAACAAACCTGTGATTTACCTATTTCATCAACAGAGAAACATTTTTTATCCACTGTACCACCATTACTAGTTAGCTTGACACAGTAGGGTTTCCAAATGGAGGTATATGATGAGTTAAAGTAACAGCTATTTTCTCCGGCAGAGACATAATCAGGGCATTCTTTCCATTCTAGGTTCTGTTCTTGAATGCTCCTGAAATAGAGAGTAAAAGAGGATTAATCATCCCCCCAAATCAAGTTATAACTTAAGTCAAAGTGAGTGCTTGACAGGTTCAATGAATAAGAGCATAAGTATATTATGACAAAAATATTTGCATTTTGGCAGCACTATGTCCAAGAAATAGCACATGTATAGAAAATATTACTGCCTGAAGACTGTTAGGAAGTGAATTGATACTTCTGCCCATAGTGAAAGCATCCATTTATTGAGTGTGTATATTGTGTCAGCTGCTAAATAAGCAATTCCTATGGTAGGTGCTTTATTATCTGCACTCTACAGATGAAGGTTCTGGGGCTTGAGGAGGCTTTAGAATGTTGCCTTATTAAAGCAGTGCAGAGAGCCAACTCCTAAACCACAGAGATTCCCAGAGAGCAGTGAATCTTTGGACCTGGATTTTTCTCCACCTCATGGTGAAAGAAATGGAGGAGGCAAGCTGATGGTGTGCTGCACGCTGAATCACACATTATACACAGCACTAGCGCTGTGCAGATATAGTGATAAAAAAGATTTGGTTCCTAAATGCAGGCTAGAAGACGACTTAGACATAATCATCTGAGTACTTTTTTCTAGTGTCTTATATTCATTCCACTGATATTCAATGAGAACTAATTATGTATAAAACACCTTGATAGACACTATGAGAGACACAGATTGCCTAAGCAATAACTTCTGTCTGAAGACAAAAGACTAAAAATCTGTATTACAAAGCAGTATGGGCAAGCATTCAGAGTTAGTATTCACTGGAGTCTTCAAGAGTTCAGAAACAGAAATAATCATTCTGTTCATGGAAGGCAGTGTTTTTTGCAGTGCTGAAAGATGGGTTAAAGTTTAATAGATGGCAATAAGAAAAGAAAAGGAGGAGACAGAGTGGTCAAAGGTGTTGAGGTAAAGTCGCGCAGAAAATGCCGAATCAGTCCGCTGAAGACAGGCAGCCACCTGGTTCCACACTACAAAGACGCAGAGGACACCGGACCACCAGATCTCGGTACTGAGTCCCACTGCTCCCGGCCCAGAGGTAGGGGCTTCTGAGCTGCCATCCCACTGCTCCTGGTCCAGAGGAAGGGGCTT